CAGTTCTTGATACAGCAGGTGACCCTGAAAGTTCCCTTTTCCATAGAGTTTGTGTTTGAATCGGGCAGTGCCCAGGCAGGAGGAAATCAAGTCCTACCAAGACTGGCAGGCAGTCTACTGACCCATGCCCTGGAGAGCCATGCTGAGGCCTTTAGAGAGCGCTTTGAGAAGACCTTCCAGCTGAAGGAGAAGGGCCTGGGCCCTGGTGAGCAGGCTTTGGGTCAGGCTGCCCTCAGCAGCCTCCTTGGTGGAATTGGCTACTTCTACGGACAAGGACTGGTATTGCCAGACATGGGGGTGGAAGGGTCTGAGCAGAAGGTGGACCCAGCCCTCTTTCCACCCCTACCTCTTTTTACAGCAGTGCCTTCCCGGTCATTCTTCCCACGAGGCTTCCTTTGGGATGAGGGCTTTCACCAGCTGGTGGTTCAGCGGTGGGATCCCTCCCTCACCCGGGAAGCCCTAGGCCACTGGCTGGGGCTGCTAAATGCTGATGGCTGGATTGGGAGGGAGCAGATACTGGGGGATGAGGCTCGAGCCCGGGTACCTCCAGAATTCCTAGTGCAACGAGCAGTCCATGCCAACCCCCCAACCCTACTTTTGCCTGTAGCCCATATGCTAGAGGTTGGTGACCCTGACGACTTGGCCTTCCTCCGAAAGGCCTTCCCCCGCCTGCATGCCTGGTTCTCCTGGCTCCATCAGAGCCAGGCAGGCCCAGTTCCACTATCTTACCGCTGGCGGGGACGGGACCCTGCCTTACCAACCTTACTGAACCCCAAGACCCTACCCTCTGGGCTGGATGACTACCCCCGGGCTTCACACCCTTCAGTCACCGAACGGCACCTGGACCTACGATGTTGGGTGGCACTGGGTGCCCGTGTGCTGACGCAGCTGGCAGAGTATCTGGGTGAGGCTGAGGTAGCTGCTGAGCTGGGCTCACTGGCTGCCTCACTGGAGGCAGCAGAGAGCCTGGATGAGCTGCACTGGGCCCCAGAGCTAGGAGTCTTTGCAGACTTTGGGAACCACACAAAAGCAGTACAGCTGAAGCCCAGGCCCCCTCAGGGGCTGGTTCGGGTGGTGGGCCGGCCCCAACCTCGACTGCAGTATGTAGATGCCCTTGGCTATGTCAGTCTTTTTCCCTTGCTGCTGCGACTGCTGGACCCCAACTCATCCCGCCTTGGGCCCCTGCTGGACATTCTAGCTGACAGCCGCCATCTCTGGAGCCCCTTTGGTTTACGCTCCCTTGCAGCCTCCAGCTCCTTTTATGGCCAGCGCAATTCAGAGCATGATCCCCCCTACTGGCGGGGTGCTGTGTGGCTCAATGTCAACTACCTGGCTTTGGGAGCACTCCACCACTATGGGCATCTGGAGGGTCCTCACCAGGCTCGGGCTGCCAAACTCCACAGTGAGCTCCGTGCCAATGTGGTAGGCAATGTATGGCGCCAGTACCAGGCTACAGGCTTTCTCTGGGAGCAGTATAGTGACCGAGATGGGCGAGGCATGGGCTGCCGCCCTTTCCACGGCTGGACCAGCCTTGTCTTACTGGCCATGGCTGAAGACTACTGAAGGGAGGGAGAGGAGGGGAGCCAGGCCACTCATGCCATTCTGGCTCTAGAGGGACAAAGGCTTCTGGCTTCTGCCCCCAGTCCCTTGGATACCAGTAATTCAAACCTTCCTCATTTCATCTCAGGTGTCTCCTTACTGTCATCCCACATAGCCCTGGGGTGAATGTGAATTCAGAGTCTATTTTTCTAAATAAATTGGAAAAAACATTTTGAACTCTACTGCTTTTGCCAGATTTGCCTCACCAAGAGGCCTTAGGTCAGTCCAGGCCTCAGGATTGTCTGCTGTCCTCAGGGAAGGTAGGGTCAAGTGGCCATAACCTGTCCCCTTCAAACCCAGTCAGGTCAAGTGCAATGCAGTGAGTTGAGCTTTAGTCCACCCAAATCCACAAGTGGCTGGTTCAAATCTCTTTAATGAGATCAAAGGCTCCTGTGTATATGTCTTGATGCCTTGTGGGGGTAAAGCTAGCACAATCCCCCAAATACTGCCCCTCTCCTCAGGGCTCCAGCCCTTTCGGGCAGATCTAGGTAGGCAGGAAGGGGCCAAAGGGAACGCAAGGAGGTGGGACTAGGGCTGTTTCTGGTGGGCAAGTAACCCACCCACCCTCTCAAAACTAACTTACGGGATGTCCCCTTCACTGGAGGACAGCCCCATGGGAGAGACCTGCAGTACAGAATCTGGGGGCAGTGCACAAGGGGAATAGTCCTCCAGATCTGGCAGGGTGGCACTAGCCCTCACCTCCTTGACTGGCTCACCCTCACCGGAGGCAGGACAAGGGCAGAGCTCAATACCGGAGTCACCAGTTAAACGGCGATAGCGACAGGAGGGGGGTGTGGGGGCAGGGCTCACCCCTGCCGCAGGCTCAACCTCCTGATGAGGGGGGGCACTCTGGTGGGAGGAAACACCTTCCACATTTGTTCCTTCGAAGTGGGCAGGGCAGCTGGATGAGGAGGAACACCAGGTTTGTTCGCTGGAAGCAGTCAAGGGGAGGCCTGGGGCCACAGTATAAGCGGGGGGTGGTGTGCCTGGGCGGTGAACCACATCCTCGTAGGCTGGGGGCTTGAAGGTGCTGAGGAGGCCTGCAGGGGAGAAAATTGGCATAATTCGTTGAAGGCAACCAGGTATAGGGTGCTAGCTTTTATATTAGGGAAAAATACTTTGAAATGTGTAGAAAAAGGAATGTCAGATGATTTGGGGTCCTGGTTCGGGGAGGGCCACTGGTAGTTGACCCAGAGCATCAAGTCACTCACGAAGGTCAAGCAGTGAACCGGTAGGGAAAGGACCAGCCCCATGGCATGCCCCATGGTAGGCCAACAAGTTGATTTCACGCTGCCGCTGCTGTTGTTGCAGCCGGAGTTTAGCTCGTCGGTGGCGGAAGGCGCAACAGCAGCTAAAGAGGATGAGGACAGTCCAGAGCAGCCAGAACCCTGCAAGAGGCAAGGAGGGAGCGACTCAGGCATCTTTCATGCAGAGAAGGGGCCCTGAAGGCCGAAATTCTGAGGTCCAAGGGAGGGTGGGCACAGGGACCTGGAAACAGCCCTCTTGGAGACTTACACCAGAGCTCATAGTAGTAGGTGCAGCAGCCAGTCTCCCCACAGCAGTGACCACTCTCACAGAGGTAGGGCTGGTTGTTCACTCCTGGGCACAGCTCTCGAAGCTGGGGGCAAGGAGGCACTTAGAACTAAGGGGGATTCCAGCGCAGGGCACTGTCCACCCCCACCTCCTGCATGCACATACACAATCCCACCCTGTGAACCAAGTTCAGCTTGGAGAGATGGGGGAAGTGGAGGATGCTGAGAGGAGTGTTGAAATATCTGAAGGGCTGTCAACGTGGAAGAGGATTTGGAATAGCAAGAATCAGTCTAGAGAACAAGACAAAAGTGTGGACATACAAAGAGGGAGATTTCAGGTCTGCATATATAAGACTTCCTTCACACTCAAGCCTCACCCTCCCCAACCCCCCTACCCCCATCCCCCCGGTGCTTTCTGTTATGGGAGTGTTTTGGCAGAAGCCAGAAGACAGTCTGAGATAATCTCAGTCTCAGACAACGGGTAGGGGAAGGTCATTTCCAAAGCAAGTTGCTTTCATTATCCTGCGCGGTTCACTACCCCCACCCCCAACTGGATCTTTCCACCCCTGGGCCTCAGGCTCCCTAGGACAGAGGAGGGGCAGTGTGAGACCCAGAGCAGTGCTCCCAACCAGATGGGAAGCTGTGGATGATAAAGGATGGCATCCAGGGCGCGAGTCTGGGTTCCAGCTCTTCTCCAAATTGCTCCCTCAAGAGAAGACGCTGCCGGACTCTGTTGTGACAACAGGCACATAGAAAAAGATCACAAATAACTGTTGCAAGACAGAGGGAGCCTCCCTGGGGCCTGCCTCACTATGCCTCTGGTCACTGGCGAGCCACCGCAAGCTTCCACTGCAGCCATGGGATGGGGTCTATGAGGCTACAGGAAAAGTCAGCTGCATCTACGTTACAAAGTTTAGACAAAGAGTGGGACATGTTTAGGAACTTCACAGTACCTTTGGCTCCGTGAGTTCCTCCCCCACCCCCAAAAAGGAAGGGATAAGGAAAGGGGAAAGAGACAAACGGCTGTCGTGATAGGCTTTGGAGCTGTTGGGATACCTGCTGTTGCGATGCCCGAAGTGCCCCCCAGGCCTCCTCGCTGCCGTTCCCGCTGCTGGCCCGAGCCATGCCTCCACCTACAGCCCCCTGAGGATCACAGCCTCCTCTACCGCCAGCCGCCCCGCCCCTGCCACCTCTGCTGCCACCGCCATGGTCCCTGCCCGGCCCATCTTCGCTGCCGCCACCATCACTACGCGGCCTGAGCTTCCATCCGGGGAGAACTGCACCAACTAGGACTCAGATTGCTCTGCCCTACCAATCAGCATCGTCCCTTGACGGACAGGCCAATAGGAACAGGTAAGAGGTTTCTCCCTGTGACCAATCCACAGCAGCGCCTTCGCCGCTCTCCCAGACAACATGAGCTTGTACAGACAAAGAGTAGGGGAAGGTTCGACCCACGGCCCTGACTGACAGCGGCAATAGCCAATACAGACAGCAGAACAGGCTCTGGCATATCAACCAACGAACAGCCGTCCCGAAGACCAAGGTTACCGCTGATTGGCTTGCGCCATGTTTTCGGAATGACGCCAAATGCCGGCGACCGCCAGGTAATCCCGCCTGTAAGAGGCGGGGTCCCAAAAGTCGGTCCGACTCTGGCCGCAAAGCAGCCTAGTTTCTTGCGGTGCTTTCCAAGCCCCAGGCATCGACGCAAGCTCCGACAGGGGCAAAATATGTGTATACCGGAGACTGGTCTGCCCACAACATCCCACTCCCCCAGTTCTGTACAAGCCAAAGCACCGGATGAAATTTAATAGGGTGGGGAAGACACTCAAGAGCGGGCATGGGACAGGGCGCAGAGTCCAGGTTAGGTAAGGGCCTTACGTAGCCAAAAGGGGGGATCCAGGGCCCTCGGGTCCCCCCAGCCGCATCTGCAGGTTGATGCGGTAGCACTGAAGACTGCAGAGTGCCTGGCCGGTGCGAGAGCAAGCGTAGCGGCGCGGATGGGGACAGCCGGGGACAGAGCAGCGCGGAGGCGGGCCTAAGGGGGATGGCCGCTGAGACACCGCCGTGGGGGTGGGGACGCCAGGTGGGAAGGAAAGGGTGGAACCCTGTGCTCCGCTGCAGTAGCGCACCATGGGGGCCGGAGCCGCAGCCCGCCCTCCCCGCCGCTCGCCCCGTGCGGCTCCCCGGCCTCCCCGCCCACTGGTCGCCGCAGTCTTGGTGAGGCGCTCGATAGTCTGGTTCTTGTGCTCTTCTGCCCGCCGCGCCGCCTGGAGCCGCCGCTTACGCGCCCGCTCCTCGCGCTTCAGCAGCATCTCCTCTGTGAGAGCAGGAGCTGGACAGCCCTCAGCCACAGGCAGCGGCAGCATCGGGGAAGGCTGACTCCGCGCCTTCTGGAGCAGAGCTCGCTAGGGAGAGACAGAGACGGGGTGCTGTCTGAAAACGGAGGAGGATGGAGAGGCGAGGTCGGTCAGATCGGGGGAGGGGAAAGCAGGGACATGGAAGGCAGGGTCTTGAGCAGCGCAGGCCTTGGGAGACGGGATATTAATAAATAAGCACCCTCTCCAGGGGACCTTCCATAGGTTCCTCTTCATAAATACTGCCTCATCCCAGATCTCCTGACATTCAGCTTTAGGTCCTAAACTCTCAAGGGGAGAAGCATCAATAATGTTGCCTGCCTGACCTGTGCACCAAAACTGTACCAGCTTTCCCAGAGGTCTGTTGTTTTTAATCTTATCTCAGTAGAGAGTATCAGTTGGATAACTGCTGAAGCCAAAATCCCAGGCTTAGCCTTGATATAGTTTCTCTCCATTCCCCTCCCCACAAGTATCTACTTCCAAAATATAGCCATATTTCATATGATTTTCTCCATCTCCACCACTTTGGTCTTGGTTAAAGCAACCACTGCCTCTCGGCTGATTACTTCAACAGCTTCCTAGTTGGTCTCCATACTTCTATCTCTTGTCTCCACGGAGATTCATTCTCTACAAGGATGCCAGAGTAATCTATTGAAATGTAAACCAAGTTTGTCACTTCTCTGCGTACAGCCCTTCAGTGGCTTGTGCAGTTTTTCTTCTCCTTTACTCTGCTAGACATGTTCCAGTCTCAAGGTCTGTGCACCTGTTGGTCTCTGCTGGAAAAGCTCCTCTGGTATTGCAAATGTTATCTCTTCAGAGAAGCCTTCTCTAACTACCCTAAGTCTCTCTTCTGTCATTTTCTATTTGTTTGTTTATGCCATTTCTATTTCATCACCCTATTCTTTTTGTCATAAACCATATAGCTTTTTGAAATTATTTATTTACTTATTTACTTCCCAGCCCCCCAACACACACACTAGAATACTAGCTCCAGGAGAACAGAAACTTTGTCTGTCTTTTCTCCACTATCGATATCCCCACTACCACGCAAAGTGCTTGGGTCGTGGAGAGTTCTCAATACTGTATACTTTGGTGAGTGAATAAACAATGACCAACATACCTGTCGAGCAGTAAGCAACCGCTCATTGATCTCCTTCTTGAGGTCTCCATTATCATCCAGCTCCCCCTTCTCCAGGGCATCCAGCCACCTCTGTTCCTCCTCTTCCTCTTGACCCCCTAACCCTCCTGATAGGTCCCGAAGTGGAGAGGGAGAGAGATTACTGTCTTCATCTGGGAAGGAAGTTGGAGAAAGAAAAATAGAATTGTTCAGATGGTGCACCCTAATTTGGCTGAGTTAATACTGGGATATGGAAAATCCTAACCCATTTCAGAACCAACCTTCTTTCCTTAGGCGGGTATAATAAGAAACCCAGTTTCCCCACCTCCAGATCCTTCTCACCCAGCCAGGCACGGTACTGCTCAAGGGGGACTCCTTCCATAGGTTCCTCTTCATTATCCACAACCATAAGGGGAGAGGGTGAGCGAGGCCCCTCTGGGATTACAGTGAAGGTAGGAACACTGCAGAGAAGCAACACTACTCTTTAAAATGAGCACGCGTCTCCTCCTCCTACGCAGTAGCTCCACCCAACTTTCCCCACCCTCTTAAGACTCTTGCTGCCTAAACCTGGACCATGAAGTCACAGTGTCCATTCGGTCTTCTAGAAAGTCCAGTCGGCTTCTAACTACTTTCTCTGCTCCTAAAGTTCCCCTTATAAAACTTTGACCCTCTTGGCCTCACCTCTTGGTCCCCAGGACTTGTCCCCCAAGCTTGATTTTGAGTTTGAGCTGGGGCTTGGCAGGGGACGGCTGCGTGGGCCCGGCATCTTCTTCCTGATGGTGTTTCTTCTTGTGTTTCTTCTTGTGCTTCTTGTGTTTTTTCTTGTGCACTCCATGGCCATGGGCACCCGCCAGGCTCAACTCCAGGGCTTCTCCTGCGGAAGGAACGCCTGTCGACAGTGTTCGGCCGGAGGGTGGCAGGGGAAGCCCTGAATAACCTAAGCCCCTACCGATCCCACCCTTTCCGCAGTACTCTCTGTTACCATAACAACAGCACCGCCTTTCTCCTTCCCACCTGTGGCCGAAGTACCCTGAACTCTCCGAGGAGAAAGAACGGGACTTCTTTTCTAACACGGCCTAAATTGCTTGATCTATCCGCGCTTACCCGGCTCAGGGGCCTCCATAGCCCCAGAGGTGCTTCCACGCCGCCACAGCTTACTCATGAGGTCCTGCAAGGAAAGGGGACTAGAAATGGTTGGGACACACGCAGACATGCCTTTTCCGCCCCGCGGAAAAACTGGAGCCAGCAAAATAACCAGTTACTTCCCGTTCGTAGCAACCATCCTTGTGCGGGGCACGCTTCGCGTCCAAAATCGTCCCTGAGAAACAAGAATCCTTCCAACTAACGTTCCGGTCCCTCTGAGGTCGGGACGGCCCAGATGGGCAGGGCTTTCCCCTGGCTCCGCCTCCCCACACTAGATTTCAGAACTCAACGCGGGTGAATCAATTATTGAACTCGAGTTTGGTGAATGTATGTATACGCCAGACCAAGTGCGGGAAGCTAGTCTAAGAGGATGCAAAGATGAATATGAACACCGCCCCTGTCCTTGAGGAACTCACAGTTGGGTGGAGGAATCCATAAACTATACTGATGACAAAATGGCCGAAATGCTTAAACAGCACGAGTGCCCTAAGAGCAGAGAAAAGCACATGCTCTTAGGTATTTAGACTTCAATTTTCATAAGTAGGGGAATAAGTAAATGAATTACGGTGCAGCTGTACAATGTGGAACACCATATTGCTAAGAAAAGTTGAGTGATAAGTAATTAATGAGATTGACACAGAATTTTAACAGTCTAAGTGTCCTAATGAACTTGGTATATCCATACAGTGGGATGTCAAGTAGCTTGGAAAAGAAATGAGGCGCGCCAGAAGGCTACCTAGGAAATTGATAAGAGTCATTTGCTGATGAGCAGATGGAGAACAAGGGTGGATGGCCACCTATTTTTTATTATTATACCCTTTTGCGTCTTTTGAATTTTGTATAAAACGTGTATAT